GTCCACAAAAATAACTCAGGCTGCTTTGCCGAACCATCCTGTCCACCAGGGGCGCTGCTGAGGCTGTCTGCCTGGAAGGGTCACCAATGGGTGCGGAAAGTCCTCACTCTCATGGCTCGGGCCATCGCTGCTGCGGGGAGGGATCTTTGCTGCCATGGCAAGGGGGTACTGGAAGCCATACTGCTGCTGGGTGGAGGGGGTGGTGGAGGCTGCTGCTGCTGCTGCTGCTGCTGTTGCCATGGAGGAAGAGGACCAGTAGGCAGGGGAGGAGGTTGCCCACCAGGTGGCGGCGGCGGTGGCGGCATCATGCCCATAGGCAGTGGCGGTATCATACCTTTTCCTTGATGCAGGCGGTAGACCCCAGAGCATATTTCCCAGGTACTGATCCATTGGAGGAGGGCCATGGTGCCCAGGTGGGTGGGGGCCCTGGTTCATCGGTGGTGGTGGTGGCTGCATCCAAGGAGGTGGGGGTCCATTAGGGTTGTGCTGCATGGGATGACCACCATGCCCACCTGTGAGGCTGGGTAATGGGTGTGGGAAGCTGTGGGGGCCGCCTCCAGGCCCACCGGGACCACCTCCATGCATGCCGTGGTAGGGCCAACTCTCTGAAGGACCAGAATTCATCCAGGGTGGGCGGCTCTGCGTGGTAGACATGAGAGACGGTGGAGGTGGGTTGTTGGCAGGAGCAGCAGGCCGAGGTGCACTGGCCAGAGGTGTGCTGGCAGGCCCAGAGGTGGAGCCCACAGAGGCTGGCACAGGAGCTTCACCCAGTTCAGCCATGAGGGACAAATATTCTTTATCCATCCGAGCTTTATCCTGAGCTGACTGCGGGTCACCAGGCCTTTGGAATTTGCAATCAGAAGCAATGTGGCCAGTCCCTCCGCACTTGGTACACACTGTAGTATTGGTAATGCTATGGGTCTCTGAGCTCTGCCAGGGTCTTAAGATCCGGTTATCATCTTCCCTAAGGGTCCCATTCAAGCGAGCCAACTCCCGAAGTTGCATCTTCCGAAGGTCATTCTGGTCCTCAGGGGTCTCAATCACTTGCTTCAAGATGTTTCTGATCTGCTCCACTGCTTTCTTCACATTCTCCATGGTGTTGGCGGTAACCTGGGCATGAAGTGGCTCGTCTTCTCCTGGCAACATCTGGCCATCTTTGTGCCCAACTTTCCCTTCTTTCACAGACCCTTTCCCCCGGATCATTATCTTCGCATTACACTCCTTCTCTATGTTCTTCAATGTGTTCCCTCTATCAGATGCAGAAAAGGTTGAGTTGTTATATGCAAATTCACATGCCAAGGGGACAGAGGTGGGCTGATCAGGCACTGGTAGGAAATCATGAGTGCAGCGAATTGGATTTCCCCACCAAGAAATCAATGATCTCTAAGTTAAGATCAGCCACAGCAATCCTTAAGATTTGACTTCCCTGAAGTAAAATGAGGATGTTAAAGAGATTTTCTCACAGGAAGGCATGAACTCAGCCAAAGTGAAGGTCCTACCCAAAACAGGAAGGTGCCACCAATGGCACCCAATTTGGCACAAGATAAACACACCTCACAGGTTCTTAGGAATTCTCTATCCCATAGGCTAGAAGTTACTTACCTGGGCCCAATTAGCAGCCCCACAAAGTTGATTTCTGGATACTCATCTTGTGGAATCATTACTTTATCGCTCACACGTGTTGCTGGAGGTCTAAGGAAGAAAAGACTCATTGACTCTGGTGATTTGAGGTAAGAGGTGAGAAGTTAGTACCAAATGTTTCACCATGTCACCTGGCTGGCGTGGCTCAGTGATTGAGTGTTGGCCTAGGAACTAGGAGGTCAGGGTTCAATTCCCAGGCAGGGCACATGCCCAGGTTACGGGCTTGATTCCCAGTGTGGGGTGTGCAGGAGGCAGCCCATCAACGATTCTCTCATCATTGATGTTTCTCTCTCTCTTTCTTCCTGAAATCACTAAGTCTATTTTTTTTTTTTAATGTTCTACCATGTCACACACATTCTTCATGTGTCCTTATCCCAGACAACCCAGCCCCCCTGCTTACTTGTAATCTGCAGGTGGCTTGAAGTCAGGGTTGAGAGCAACCATCTCTGTGATGAGGTTATGCCGCTCCTCTTCCAGCGTCTTTCGAGTGCGGAACTCACGGGTGTTAAGCCGCTTCCCCTCACTATTGTAGATGGGCTCCGGGGAAGGGGACCTGTCCTCAGGCTTAGGGGGGATGCCCAGGTCTCCCGTGCGCAGTTTACGAGTCAGGTCTTCTATCTGCAGTTGCACTATATAAGCTCTCTCTTGTTCCCGAGTCAGTCCAGGGGGGATCACTGTAGGCATTCCTGGAATCACCGTTTTCTGTTCCATTGTGTCTTGATTCCAGCGGCTCCTCTTCCGCTTCTTCCTTGGGAAGTCCAGCGGTGTGGCATTCGCTCCGGTAGCCATGGCGCCCCCGGGACCCACACCAGCGGCTCCTCTTCGGTGGCTTCTCCTTATCGAACCTTCGGGGGGAGGGGACTCGACTGTGTTGCCGCAGAATGTTTGGAGCCCTTCCTCTCACGCGGCCGGCGGCGGGCGGGAGACGCACAAAGAGGGAGGAGAGAGCCCGCTACGGGGGCAGGGGCGGCCTGGGGGCGACAGGTCGAAGCCTGGATTGGGCCAGGCTGAGGCAAAGGGTTGCCTGGCGAGGAAATGGCAGCGGAGGCTGGAGAGCTGGGAGGTGTGGATGGAGTCGGCGAAGAAGGAATGACACCAAGACAGCGTTCAGTTGATCAGCAGCCTAGCCAGGTT